CCCTATCATCTCAGTGTCCAGTACAATAACTGATCCCCTAAGTCCGGGCTTGTAAGATCATGGCCACTGAGAGTAAGCAGTTGAAGTCAGACGTGCTTCTTGTTGTCTCTATAATTAGTGTTTGGATAACACGGGATATTGAAACAAATCTAGCGCTAACTCGATTATGGAGCGGTAAAGCATGGCTCTCAAAATTTATGTACATTTTTAATAAACTTAACGTTTGCACTGGTCTGCTGATATTTTATTTAAATTTTTTCAAATGTTTATTGACCAAATTTGTTCGTTCACCTGAATTCACTGAAGAGATACTTTGTGTTTTTTCTGAGCATAACATGCGTTAAATCCTTTTTTACACTATGAATCATAAACAACTACTATATCATCACATTTTACAGTCTCTTCAACAAATAACACTATATTTTTACTCTGTTTCATTTTCAAAAATTTTGCTTAATAAGATAAACACGTCATGAATAGTGACCTTTCATTGAGAAAATATCATAAAACATGAGCAACTTTTTTAATTTGCATATTTATCCGTTATTTTACGATGGTTGTATGGTTCTGTGTGCAGACATTGAAGCCCTATGGAAAGCTAGCAGTACTGTGACTTTGATGTGTACAGATATATTGACATAGTCCTCACTATCACAGTTGTAGAAGACAATCTTTATTATTATACAAAACAATCTGTAAGTCAGACTGAAAGGTTTTTATGAGACCAGACTGCTCTGATTTCAGAAGACTGGTCAGTTGGTGTGTAAATTAGCTTGTAGCAGTGGTGTAATGCTAAGTCAGAGTAACAATGTAGCCTGGAGGGGGGAGAGGGGGTGGGCCTTAAGTTCCTGCTAGGTGACCTCATTATCCCCCAAAACACGTTTTGCGGGGGTTATTAAAATGGACATGGTCCGTTTGTCCTTCCAAGATGTCCTTTTTGGAGCAGATCTTGCAAACCATACGATATTTCTTCACCAAACTGATTATATAGGTCTAAATAGGTCTAGTGCTGAACTGTTGCTTTTTGATTGTTTGGGATTTAAAAAAAAAATCAAATTTCTATGGCAACAACTTTGACTTACTCTGAAATTTGGGGTAATGCTCATTTTCTAGAACAGATCTTGAAAACCGTACAATATTTCTTCACCAAACTTGGCACATAGATAGGTCTAGTGGTGAATTGGTGTCTTTTGATTGTTTTGATTTTTAAAAAAAATACTTTTTGAGTGTCCATGGCAACAAGTTTCTTATATTTATTCATGACAAGTATTTACCATTGTGGGGGATATAGATGACTTCTTTTTTTTTCATATTTATTGAATCTGGATGCCATGTTTATCTGATTCATTTCTAGCATCAGTTCCACTGTCCATTACATTATAAATAATGGTCGTCCTTGAATACAACTAAAAAAATTCAGAAATGAAAGATTAGCTATACTAATAGGAAAGAATCTGGTGGTCCTTAACTTATTTTGAGTAGTATATATGTTGTCTTGATGATACAGGAACCTGATCGTCCATGGTTTCACAACTGATGAAGAAGGCCGGAAGATGTCCAAGTCCGAGGGAAATGTTGTTGATCCTGCTGTGGTCATCAATGGTGGAAAAGTAAGATTCTATACAGGCAGCTTGTGTATGACCAACTCTCAGTGATCCAAAGATCAACAGTCATTACACTTATCTTATTGTTGTGTGGAAAACTCTGTGTTATAATGTGGCTTTTCTCCCTAGAACAAGAAAACGTCTCCGGCCTATGGAGCCGATGTGATGCGGTGGTGGGTGGCGCATGCTCATCTCAAGACCATTGTGATGATTGGACCCTCGGTGCTGGACCGTTGCGTGGAGGATATGTTCAATGTGAGCGCACAGGGAGACTGGGGATCGGTGTCCAATTGCAGGGTGATGTGGAAGCCTTGTGTGTAAGGAGGGGTGTAGGGAGAGGGTGGTGGCCATGGGTGTAGGGAGAGGGTGTAGGGAGAGGGTGTAGGGAGAGGGTGTAGGGAGAGTTTGGGGGTCATGGGTGTAGGGAGAGGGTGTAGGGAGAGGGTGTAGGGAGAGTTTGGGGGTCATGGGTGTAGGGAGAGGGTGTAGGGAGAGGGTGTAGGGAGAGTTTGGGGTTCATGGGTGTAGGGAGAGGGTGTATTGAGAGGGTGTAAGGAGAGTTTGGGGGTCATGGGTGTAGGGAGAGAGTGGGGGCCATGGGTGTAGGGAGAGGATGTATTGAGAGGGTGTAGGGAGAGTTTGGGGGTCATGGGTGTAGGGAGAGGGTGTAGGGAGAGTTTGGGGGTCATGGGTGTAGGGAGAGGGTGTAGGGAGAGAGTGGGGGCCATGGGTGTAGGGAGAGGGTGTAGGGAGAGTTTGGGGGTCATGGGTGTAGGGAGAGAGTGGGGGCCATGGGTGTAGGGAGAGGGGGAGGCCTTGGGTGTAGGGAGATGGTAGGACTTGGGTGTAGGGAGAGGGTGTGAAGCCATGGGTGTAGGGAGAGGGGGAGGACTTGGGTGTAGGGTGTAGGGAGTGGGGGGGGGCATGGGAGTAGGGAGAGGGGGGGGGCCTTGGGTGTAGGGAGATGGTAGGACTTGGGTGCAGGGAGGGGGTGTGAAGCCATGGGTGTAGGGAGAGGGGGAGGACTTGGGTGTAGGGAGAGGGTGTGAAGCCATGGGTGTAGGGAGAGGGGGAGGACTTGGGTGTAGGGAGAGGGTGTGAGGCCATGGGTGTAGGAAGAGGGTGTGAAGCCATGGGTGTAGGGAGAGTGGGGGCCATGGTTGTAAGGAGAGGGTGTAGGCCTTGGGTGTAAGGAGAGGGTGTAGGCCTTGGGTGTAAGGAGAGGGTGTAGGCCTTGGGTATAAGGAGAGGGTGTAGGCCTTGGGTATAAGGAGAGGGTGTAGGCCTTGGGTGTAAGGAGAGGGTGTAGGCCTTGGGTGTAAGGAGAGGGTGTAGGCCTTGGGTATAAGGAGAGGGTGTAGGCCTTGGGTATAAGGAGAGGGTGTAGGCCTTGGGTATAAGGAGAGGGTGTAGGCCTTGGGTGTAGGGAGATGGGAAGGCCATGGGTGTAGGGAGAGAAAGAGAGTGTAAGGCCCTTTGGTAGAACCTATAATGTCCAAACTATACAGTTCAAAAGTGAGTAAACGCTTCCTGTCTTGTTTCTTCGGTATGTCACAGGCCCCAAGTCCTCTTCTTCTCACAATCTCGCTATTTAATTGAACCAAACCCCCCCACACCTCTCTCTCTCATTCCCAAACTCGCAATCCTTAAGCACTTTTCCTCTACCTACACCCGACTTACTATTAGGTCACCTGGAAATTACTTCTGATGCTGACAATATCAACTCAAAGTCTGACCTGTGCAGTTTCATACAGGGGCTGTAGTATTTTGTCAGGTTTCTACACTAATAATGGAAAGTATCCCGGGTTGCAGAGATCGAGAATGTAATAGTTGCCCCAATGCTATGGTAGCGGCCATAAAATCCCGTGATGGGATTCGAACCACGGACATTCTGATCCGAGGTCGGACGCCTTGTCCACATGACCAAAGAGGTTAACCCCGTCAGCAAGCTGACAAGGTAAGGATGTCATCTGTGGGATGACTCCATGCCCTGCTACATACTCCCCCGTCAACAGAAGGCACGTCCCGGGCCGCATAGTAGGGTACTGAGGCTTATTTTGCTCAAATTTAAAATGAACCTGCTCAGCCCCAATGTAGCGGCCATAAAATTCCCGAGTCCCATGATGGGATTTGAAAGACGGACCTTCTGATCCGAGGTCGGACGCCTTGTCCACATGACCAAAGAGGTTAACCCCGTCAGCAAGCTGACAAGGTAAGGATGTCATCTGTGGGATGACTCCACACCCTGCTACACTGTGGTAGCAGCCCCCCCTGCAGTACAGGTCTGTGTGTTCCAGCTAAGGAAGAGTCTGCGCTACCTGCTGGGCAACCTGGCTGACTTCCAGCCCTCATCACACCTCGTGACGTACGACTCCCTGCTCCCTCAGGACCAGTACATGCTCCATCTCCTGCACAGCTTCGCCGACAAGGTAACACCACATGCTTCGCAGGGAACACTTGAACCAACGTGGCACACAAGTGGATTTTTTTTTTCAACAATCCCTTCCAATCTGATAATAAATTTCAGTAATAATTTTCTTTTTCTTAACCGCTATCATGACTTAGGTTTTCAACAACAATCTGTTGACGAAGTATTAAGAGCATAAGGTCTTATCACATGAGGTTCCTGAGATTATTTCCCTATTTCATCATGATAGGAGTTTATTGAGATATAGTTTTGAATTTTCATCCTTGGTTTATCACAGCATCACTTTCGGCTTTGCTCCCATGTTAAGTTAGTTACATATGCTGCTGCATTCAAATCTCACTCACTTGTTAATGTATACCTCTGTTCCTCCCCAGGTGACAGCTTTCTACGATGGATACAGCTACAACCAGATACTGCGCCACCTGGAGAAGTTTATCAACACCGACATGTCCCGCTTCTACTTCACCATCACCAAGGACAGGTCAGACATACGCTCATGTGTACGATGTGTGAGTAGGTCAGACATACGCTCATGTGTACGATGTGTGAGTAGGTCAGACATACACTCATGTGTACGATGTGTGAGCAGGTCAGACATGCGCTCATGTGTACAACGTGTGAGCAGGTCAGACATACGCTCATGTGTACGATGTGTGAGCAGGTCAGACATACACTTCTGTTTATGATGTGTGAGTAGGTCAGACATACACTTCTGTTTACAACGTGTGAGCAGGTCAGACATACACTTATGTTTATGATGTGTGAGTAGGTCAGACATACACTTCTGTTTACAACGTGTGAGCAGGTCAGACATACACTTATGTTTACAATGTGTGAGCAGGTCAGACATACGCTCATGTTTACAATGTGTGAGCAGGTCAGACATACACTTATGTTTATGATGTGTGAGCAGGTCAGACATACACTTATGCTTACAATGTGTGAGCAGGTCAGACATACACTTCTGTTTACAACGTGTGAGCAGGTCAGACATACACTTATGTTTACAATGTGTGAGCAGGTCAGACATACACTTATGTTTACGATGTGTGAGCAGGTCAGACTTACACTCATGTTTACAATGTGTGAGCAGGTCAGACATACACTTATGTTTACAATGTGTGAGCAGGTCAGACATACACTTATGTTTATGATGTGTGAGCAGGTCAGACATACACTTATGTTTACAATGTGTGAGCAGGTCAGACATACACTTATGTTTACGATGTGTGAGCAGGTCAGACTTACACTCATGTTTATGATGTGTGAGCAGGTCAGACATACGCTCATGTTTACAATGTGTGAGCAGGTCAGACATACACTTATGTTTATGATGTGTGAGCAGGTCAGACATACACTTATGTTTACAATGTGTGAGCAGGTCAGACATACACTTATGTTTACAATGTGTGAGCAGGTCAGACATACGCTCATGTTTACAATGTGTGAGCAGGTCAGACATACACTTATGTTTATGATGTGTGAGCAGGTCAGACATACACTTATGTTTACAATGTGTGAGCAGGTCAGACATACACTTATGTTTACGATGTGTGAGCAGGTCAGACTTACACTCATGTTTACAATGTGTGATAAGGTCAGACATACACTTATGTTTACAATGTGTGAGCAGGTCAGACATACACTTATGTTTACGATGTATAAGCAGGTCAGACATACGCTCATGTTTACGATGTGTGAGCAGGTCAGACAAACACTAATGTGTACAATGTGTGAGCAGGTCAAACATACAGTTACGTGTACTATGTGCTATATATTCCCCTTTTTTCAGATGTTACTGTGGAGCGAGTGCATCCCTGCCGCGTCGATCCACGCAGACCGTCCAGTATCACCTGCTTGATGTGATAGTCCGGTCCCTGGCCCCGATCCTACCTCACCTCGCCGAGGAGGTCTACCTTCATCACCCCGGCGCACACCACATAGACGGTACCTGCTGGTTCCTGATCTAGCTTTGTAGATGATGGATTTGTGGTTGACATAGACCATTGCCCAATGTTATACACATAGCTGACACATTTCATCACAATGCCACACGGAGATATAACAAATGTTTTTTTCACGTTTGCTTTTCACATTGATGCATGATCTGTTGCTCTCTGTGTGTTGTCAGGTGTGAAGAGTATATTCCGGAGTGGATGGTTCGACCTCCCACCCCAGTGGAACAATCCTGCCATTGCCCACGTCCTAGAGCCAGTATTCACAATCAAAGACGACATCAACCAAGTCCTGGGCAATGAAAACCCTTTAGAGTTTGATGCTGTCATCTTTGCTAGTCACGACCTTGCAGAAACGTTAAAGGTAACATCACATCCATCATTGTCAATACTTTGTGGACCCCATGGAATAGACTAATCTTCACTCAAACGTATAAAAGTCAGAAACAGTGCGTGCATAGTCAGAAAGAAATGCAAACATAAGCGACTTTTGTTGTCCTCCTACGTGCGATAGAGTGAAGCAGGGGACATAGTATTCACTACCGTCCATCTGTCTGTCCAGACGCTAGTCGATTTTGGTGACCTTGATGTCATTTTCAAGGTCATTACAAGAATTTCAAGATTTGGACTTTGTATGCTTTGTGGGTGCGATACCTCAGGAACCAGTTTGTACATTTCATTCATATTTGCCACCAAGGTGTATATGGAGGTTGTCCGTATGCCAGTCGATTTTGGAGACCTTGACATTTGCAGTGAAGTTGACCTTTCATCTGACCAATCAGTGCTATGCTTATCAGATCATGAAAGTGACAGTCGGAATGTGATTTCTAATCATGCAACCTCGAAAACGTTAAGCTGGGTATTCCGAATGATAGTTATGGGCTTAAAGACTGAATCCATACAATCTAGACCATCTATTTAGCCATTCCTGAATGTACTTTTGTTCAAGTGTCAAATCGAGAATTTGTCAAAATATGTTTCGAAGCATAGTCGCGAATTTGAAATTAGTGCCGTAAAGTACATAAAAGCTGCCTTCTTATTGGCTAATGTCTACTTCTTGTCAGTCATTCCATTGGTTGGTCAAAGTTTGCGCAAGGTCGGTCTGACATGACCCGTAATGGGATGTCCACAGATCTTTGTTTAGCGGTAGCGAGAACTAAGATCTGATTTTAAGGAGATTGATCAGTTACTGCACCCCTATCTTTTACCAGGAACACTGATTGGTCGGGAAGTGTCTTCTACAATGTAAAGTTATAGAACCATGTAATGTAAGGGACAGTCCAGTACTCGGGTACATGGTGCTAACTTTCCATGCATTGCAGTGAAACAGTGATAACTTTCATTTTCCTTTTATGGCAGAGGACAAGGTATGATACGGTCCCTTCTTAGCCCATAGGATCGACACAATTATGAAATGTATACTCTGACCCCATGGTACCACGGCATTCATCGTATCTGTGATTTCCGATAGTTCACGCGGGACACGCCTCTTAGCGGCTGTCTATTAATGCAAATCAGTAACCAGGAAGTGCTCACTTCGTAAACAATTTCAATTTCCTCGGAAGGTTCTGTCTGCTGAAAGTAAGGAGTTATTAATCCGTTGATACATATTTCTGGCATCTGTTGTAATACTGCCTTACCCCCATCTATCAATGGCCAACGATATAACCCGCAGTTCCCCAAGTAAACTTTCTCTATCGACCTGAACTAGATCATCTGCATATTCATGGCGACTAATGAGGTAACGGAAGTTACGTAGTCTGCACATTTTTTCCCGCTCTGTGCCCAGAATCTATTGGGAGATCATAAGGGCCATAATGCCAAACTTAGAAATACGTTCTTCACTAGTAACCAAAAGATAAATACATACTTTGGGCATACTAGGAGTGCTTTTTATATATTTATTGTTGACTTTTAACATTTTTCCATTTTGTGACAAATTATTTTCATCCAATTTTTTTTAAACAATCTTAAAATATCATTTCTGATATTTTGATGTTGACTTATAAAAATATTTTTCTCTTACTTTTCGGTAAATATGCATTGAATACCTATTGCTGATAACACATTTAGACTTTTACTTGTGTTGTCTTTGCACTTGTCTGGACAAATCACTGATGTCTGGCATGATCATACCAAGTGGTTGGTAGAATTATGTCTTCTTTTTGTCCAATTTCGGACCTCCATACACAACTTTTCTCTGTACCGCGATACGATGGAGTTCTCTCCCTTGTCAAACAGAGCGCGAGGCCCGGCTTTTACTCGGAGCTACTAATGTAAATAATGAACTTTTATCAGTAAAATATGCATTGTTTGATTACATGAATGATATCTGATACAGAGAACACGAATAAACATAAAGGTTAGTGAGTGCATTTTGTTCCGTTTAGCGTACATGACAAGCACCGCGATACCCCGAGGTTGCAGGCTACTGTTTGGAAATTGTGAATGTTTTCAGAAGAATTCAAAGGACAAAGGACGAGAATTTGTTCACATCAGTTCTTGCATGTTTTGCACTTATAACAACACTGTTCGAATAGGTAATGCTGAAATGAGTCAAAAAGGCTGAATATAGAGGTTTTCAGGACATGTTTTTGTACTATCTGAGTGAGTTGGGTTTTTCCTCACTTTAGCAATATTCCTGCAATATCTGGGTGGGGACCCAACAAATGGGCTCTATCCCATTGTACCCATGTGGGGAAAGTCGAACCTGGGCCTTTGGCATGACGAGCAATGCTATAACCACTGTTCTATCCTACCACTCCTTTTTGAACATAAGAAAGTCATTGCCCTAAGTTGATTTTCTTGTAGATAAAGACAGTACAAACATATTGTAAGAAATCCTATTTGGGTCATGGACTTGATCATAGTTAAAACTTTTCTGTTGAATTAAAAAAACAACACAATGGGCCTTTTTACATATTTTTTTCAATTTAGTCCAAAACAAGGAAAAAGGGCTACCAGTAGTTGTCAGCTATTGGTGGCATGTGGTAGTTGTCATACCAATATCTCAAAGTTTTCCCTAACTTTAGTATTGGACATTTCCACTGAGACAAAATGGGTGGTCGGGTAGCCTAGTGGTTAAAGTGTTGGCTCGTCACGCCCAAGACCCGGGTTCGATTCCCGACATGGGTACAATGTGTGAAGCCCATTTCTGGTGTTCCCCGCCGTGATATTGCTGGAATATTGCTAAAAGCGGCGTAAAACCATACTCACTTACTCACTCACTCACTCACTGAGACAAAAGGACTATCCGACCTCATCCTTTTCTTTGTGTAGCCCTTGCAGGAGGAGCAGACATCGACCAACTCACCTCTCAACGAGCTGCTGCAGCTGTCTCACACGTCCCTGGTGGACGCTGTCCCCACCGTCATCCCTGACGACGCTCACGTGGTGGACGGAGTCTGCAAGGTCCATCGCAAAGGTAATTAGTCCGTGAAAACTTGCGTCAGTTTCTCTCCAGTTTCACCCCCATCCCAAGCATACGAGGAAATTAGATTAAGGTTGCAATAAACTAATAAACAGATTTTCATCCAAATCTTTTGAAAATATGATATTTGAGGCATTTATTTTTCGTATTTGTTTCAATGCATATGATTTTGTAAATTGTCAATGGTTGTGTTTTACAGAAGTCTGAATGTTTGGTAGGGTTAGGAAATAGTACATGGTGTATTTCATCAAGTAAAGAACACAGTCAGTGTGTAAGGATTATTAATATCCTGTACCTGTACCAACCTGTCTCATTGCTGTTATTTTAGTAACAGGCCACTAGCCTCACAATCTCATTAAAATCAGATCTAAGTTCTCGCTGCCGCTAAACAAAGATCTGAGGACGACAATTACGGGTCACGTCAGAATGACCTTTCGCGAACTTTGAAATGACTAACAAGAAGTCGAAATTGGCCAATTAGAAAGCAGCTTTCTCTAGCTTTATGGCACCCGTTTCAACCTGGTGACTTCCATTTCAGACTACGCTTGAAAAATATGTTGACACAGTTCTCGTTTACAATTTTGAAAACTGAACAAACAAATATTCTAGAATTGTTAATATTTGGTTTAGATTGTATGGCAGTGCTTTCCACGTACTGTGCAACGCCTTCTCCGTTCAAATGTTTATCCCACAGAAGCGAGAGATAGACGATAATTTTGACGGAATCAGTCGTTCGGAATACCCTGTATTAACGTTTTCAAGTTTGCATGATGAGAAAACACATTCCGACTGTCACTTTCACGATCTGGTAAGCGACGCTCTGATTGGTCGGATGAAAGGTCGTTCTGACATGACCCGTAATGGGATGTCCTGAAATCTTTGTTAAGCGATAGCAAGAACTAAGATTTGATTTTAATGAGATTGCTAGCCTCATGTACAGAAATAAAGAACTGAATTTAAGATAGACGACTTCAACGTTTTATTTCACTTCCAGATGTACAGAGTACGGAGCAGTACAAGCTGATTCTGATGGCGTCGGAGCACCACATCTGCGAGCGATGCCGCCGTTACACATCTAGCTCTGCCTCAACACCATGTGAGAGATGCCTGGATGTTGTTGCCGCGGGCTGGGAGGGATGAAGAGTGAACAAGAAGAACGCTCTACAGTTGTGTGTGCATTTCAAACTGACATTTGTGTGTACAGTTTAACCAAACAGTTGTGTGTACAGTTCAACCCAACCCAACAGTTGTGTGTACAGTTCAACCCAACCCAACAGTTGTGTGTACAGTTAAACCCAACAGTTGTGTGTACAGTTCAACCCAACAGTTGTGTGTGCAGTTCAACCCAACAGTTGTGTGTGCAGTTCAACCCAACAGTTGTGTGTGCAGTTCAACCCAACAGTTGTGTGTGCGCATTTCAAACCAACAGTTGTGTGTACAGTTCAACACAACAGTTGTGTTTGCGCATTTCAAACTGACATTTGTTTGTACAATTAAACCCAACAGTTGTGTGTGCACAGTCCAAAAAGACAAGTGATCAGTGTTGATGGATCTGCTATTATCTGCAACAGACAAACCAGTGATTGATATTATGACACCAAGCCTGACCACCCACTCCAAGTCACCTCTTGCAGCAGGCATAGGTTGCCAGGGACGTAACTCAGCATCCCCACAGGGCACTACAATCTAGTGACTCGAAACTGTAGCAGTAGCAACCAGGTGTTGCAGTATAGACTGTATCCCAGTTGATATCTGAAGCCACACATGTGGCAAGATTATACTCTTTTGCTGAAGTGGATACAGGAAGTGGATCTGATGCATCTGCTTCAAAAGCACCTGGAACAAAATATACATTGGGCAAAATGAGTGAGTGAGTGAGTTAGGTGTAACACCGCTTTTAACATTATTCCAGTTATATCACGGCATGTCAGCTTAATGTGGGAGGAAAGCCTGAAGTGATGCAGGTCTCAGACGTTTCCCACTTCAGAGAAACCCACAAGCACGGGTATGGTGCTGACAAACCTAGAAACATAATCGGGGTGAACCGGGATTCGAACCCACAATCATAGGTTTCTGGTGTGCCCAAGGGATGCAACTCTGCACAGCGAATCGTTGCACCTTAGACGACTGGCCCACCCGTGCCCTTTGGGCAAAATGTATGCAGCAACACTCATTGTACAACCTCATCAGATGTCTTTCCACTGAGCAGATGTGAAACATTTGAGGAGAAACATGTAATAAGTGTGTAAACAGGACAAGGTGTTTATGTAAAGTTTAAGATGTTGGTACTGTATGTTCCTCTGCCAAACTGCTGTTTCCAGGCTAAATTATGCACTCTCATAAGTTTGGCCTTGAGTCTTTTTGCACTGATGTCCCCAATAAAAAAGAAAGCCTGAAAAGATGCATCCGAGACCGCCTTAATCATTCCCTGCAAGGCACATTTTTACCTTCTCTGCAGGGTCTTAATGACATCTCTAGATATTCCCGGCAAATGTCTTCACACCATCTCGGCAAACTACTCCAACTTGCAGCTTGCCAAGAAGTATCCGAGACTTTCTTACAGTACCTACTGATGTAGTCTCCGATATTTACTCAGGAATAACCTTTCATGGCTTATTAAATATGCTTTAAACCATCCCGGCAAAGTTCTTAGGAAGTCCCCATAACAAAGATGTTTCAGAGACACTTTACCTTTCTATCATTTTCAGTAATACAAAAGATGTGCTTACATCATAATCTAGTCTTTCAACAGCATCTTAGAAGTAGTAATGGGTCTCTGAAACATCCTTGCTAAACCTGTACTGTCAAAAATGAGATAACAAAGATGTATAGTATTCTGTTTTTTTGGAGCAATAACAAGTAGCCAGAGGTGGACATCATCATCCAAGGTCTTCATCAACAGAAGATATCATCATATTGTAGCCGTCATTTGAAAGTGGAACTAACCCTCGTCCTGGCAGGTTTTGTTTGTTGTTTAACGTCGCACTCAGCAATATTCCATCCGTGGTCTGTTAGTAATCGAGTCGGGACCAGAAAATTCAGTCATTAACTTCATGAGCATCGATCCACGTAATTGGGATACGATGACACGCATCACCCAAGTCAGCGAGTCTGACCATGCGATCTCATTAGTTGCCTCTTACGACAATCATTGTGGCTTATTCTACACCGGATCTTCACGGGCAGGGGCCATCATGGCAAGCAGGCAGTCCTTCAAGGGGCTGAAAAGGGATCAAATGCTATTGTTAAGCTGTGCCGAAGTTCATCTTGAAGTTATAAGATGTCAAGGATGATGAATTAAAAAGTATTAAAAAATGATTTTTTTGCAACAAACTTACTGATGTCATGGTAAATAACAAATCGTGATAAACTTACCTTGCTCATTCACTTGAAGGCATTCCCCAGTGTACATATCTCCCTGCTCACTGCATCAGAAAACTGGTTTGGCAGTAACTTCAGCATCTCAGTGGCAAAAACATTTGAAACATTATTGGCATATAAAATATTGTATTTAAAATTTAAAGTAATTATCCATTATCAGTTTATTTTGCTTTTTAGTTCTTTAATACTGCTTTCTAGGGGAATTTATTAATTTTCCTCATCATGGAGAATTTGAGTGGTTTTAGATAATACTTACTCTCTAAAGCCTGCAAGACAACAGCTTGTTTTCTCTTAAACATGACTGTTCCATTTCCAATGTCAGATGGTTAAAAAAAAACATCCTTGAAGCGTTTCAGTTTACAACTGTCACCAACGTTGCCACACATCCCCATATCAATTGGTTAAGATCTTGTGATTAGACATTCAGTTAATAATGATAATGTCAAGGTTTGTTGACCTAAAAGCATTACACACTAACACCTCTGGATTCGTTACCATGATTTCGTGTGTTGTCATAATTTAATGTTAAATTTTTAAAACTCAATCGTTACCTTACAAGTCTTTGTAAGTAGTAGTTCGTTTCATAACTTATTTAGTGACAGTTCCATTAATCTAAAATTAAATTTACCTCCTGACATTTAACAAAATAAACTGACCTTGGAATCACACACTGATGTCAGTAGCATCATAAAAACACCCAGTTTCTGGCCACCAGGTGGCAACTGTCATCTTCTCCTTGATCCCTTCCCATGAAACAGGCTCATCATCAGGAGTTGTGACTTCTTCCAAGTCTGTGATGTATCTTTCCTTTTTATCTTCAAAATGTCAAGTTGCATGCATATATAACCTAAAACTGGGTCCTACAATTTAACGCCAGAGGATGCCCGGGAACGTCCGGGGTTCATCAGACGTCCGGAAGCGTCCCGGAGTTTAATAATACAGTGCAGTCATCAATAAAGCATGTCTTTCTTAGTTTGGTAAGCTCGTGAGAATATCGACTGGCACAGCAAACACACAGCAAAATAAAAACAAACAAAAATGAGTACAGGTAATAAGATAAAAAATATTTAATAGGCCATGATGGTTTTGGTTTTTATCCAAGGCTGACGTAAAAGTAATTACAGACTATGTAAAAAATGTTCGTTAGTTTTTTGTTTAACGACACAGTCAGCAATATTCCAGCTATATGACGGCGGTCTGTAAAATAATCCAGTCTGGACCAGACAATCCAATCAAACAAATCAACGAACCTGACCACCCGATTCTGATAGTCGCCTCTTACAAGCATAGTCGCCTCTTACGACAAGCATGGGTTGCTGAAGACGATCTTCACGGGTCGTATGTCAAGTTTAGTTTGTTTGTTGTTTTTTCCCGCACTCCGCAATATTCCAGCAAGATGACGGCGGTCTGTAAATAATCATGTCTGGACCAGACAATCCAGTGATTGACATCATGAGCATCAATCTAGGAACCTCAGATACGATGACATGCATCAAGAAAGTCAGCGAGCCTGGCCGCCCGATAACGTTAGTCGCCTCTTTTCACAAGCATACTCGCCTTTTACGGCAAGCATGGGTTGCTGAAGACCTGTTCTAACCCATGTACTTATTTACAATCCATAAGATGTTTAATAGATAATAATCAATGTTCATCATATTTATCTGACTTACCTCCTACTTTCCTACAGTACAACTTTGTTGTTGTTGAAAATACTACTTTCTTAGAGTGAACGTCTTTGCTGTTTTAATCATCTTTGCTTGTTCTGGTTTTCGGGCTGTCTGTGGGGTCTGCGGAATGTTGAGACGACCATCCGACGAAACAGTAATGCTTTGTTGACACCTGGGGCCACGCAGGAACTTTCTAAAATGTCTTTCTCCTGTTGGCTTTTTATCTCCAGCAGGCATTAGACAATTTAAAGCCTGCCATCCACGGTGTCAGTTGGTAGTTGCCTTGGCCGTAGAGGGCACGTATACTGGATTGTTACAACTGTGTGAAGTTTGTCTGTTAAATCCTGGATTTTCAATGATTTCCAATTGTTACTTAATGTGATGATGTTGTTCATGCTCTCACAGGCATTGTTAGTCCAGTGCAACGGAACTACTTTTGGTCTTTCTTTTGAAGGCTGGAAAATGTCAGTTGTTACAGTTTCAATGACTTTCGAAAGATAGGGATAGGAATCGGGTGCAGTTCGCTGCCTCAGAATAATTTTGTTCCAACTCACTTTTTCCTACTTTGCGGGAAATCGAGTTTGAAAGTTTGGGTTGTTCCTATCAAAGCACCCCATGCTGTGTGACATGTAGCGTGGTGCCAAATGTGTTTTGTTTAGTAAAAACGACACAATGGCGACAAAATATGTCCCAAATGGCTTCTAAATTGTTGAAGTGAGTGAGTTGGGTTTAACGCCGCTTTTGACATTATTCCAGTTATATCACGGCGTGTCAGCTTAATGTGGGAGGAAAGCCCGAAGTGATGCAGGTCTCAGACGTTTACCACTTAGGTGAAACCCACGAGCACGGGTATGGTGCTGACAAACCTAGAAACATAATTGGGGCGAACCGGGATTCGAACCCACAATCATAGGTTTCTGGCGTGCCCAAGGGACGCAACTCTGCACAGCGAATCGCGGCGCCTTAGACGACAGGGCCACACGTACGCGTGCCCCCTAAATTGTTGAAACGAAGACATTTCGTCCATGAGATAGAACAGTTCACCTCAATGATTTTGTTTTTTTCTGATTCTTCAAGTGTTCTATCTAAATTTGTATAGAAAACTCCATTGCCCATTCGGTAAGTCACATCATCAATGTAAATATTCGATTTTATAAATATTACAGATTAATCAGGGTAAGATGTGAGACCCAAAGGTGTTCCTTTGTTGTCCCTAAGATATAAACACCCTTTACATTCACGAATGAATGTGTATTTCATGAATGGTCCAGTTTGGAGCGCATTTCATTTTTCCCTGTTTATGATTAAAAGCACAAGACTTTCATGTGTTTTTTAAAGTTTAATCTGAAACTGTCTAATGTAAAGCCGAAAAAACATCAACAGATTATTTGAAATAAAATAACAATACATTAAAATAAGTGAGTGTGTTGAAAAGCATCTCATTTGGATTTGCAACAACATATCTTTTCCTTAACTCATGTTCCTAACATATCAGAGTAAAGTCTGATAATCTTTCCATACAAAATAATAGTTGAACAACTTTTAGAAATCATTCCCTAAGTAAAATACGAAACTAGTGTAATGAGAAATACAAATATTTCAGCCACACGGCAACATAAACTTTAGCAATAACTTGCATTTAATCCAGATTTGGATTGTTTGAGAACAAAATGGTATGTGCTTAAACAATCTGCCCAATTGCTACAGAACAAATCATCTTGTTTTCAGCACAAATATATCTATGATCAACGTTAACCTTTGTGAAATTGGAGATCGATCACTTGAACCTGAGTACAAACTGCACTTCACTTGGAGCAAAGAGATAGTTTACTGACCTTGACAGACCGTAAGCATATACGCCTTATCATCTTGAGGCAGAAATTTGAGCATAGATCTCAAGTCTTTGATCTTATC